CTCCCCTCGAACTGCTAAGGCTGCTAAGATCCTAAAGCCCCAGGAGACGAGATTTCTTCGAAATCGTGCAAAGCCCTGCCGTGTCTGCAGCTGCGGCAGCCAATTTGTGGAGTAGGCTTCAGCCACGGAGACAGGGGGAGAGACAAACGTAGACAAACAACAAGGAGATAACACCATGATGTCGTGTCCCTGAATCAGCACAACCAACCCCGACAACCCTGAAACAAAGTTTCTTCAGACCTTGGCCTGGCAGAGCCGGAGCACGAGCGTCAAAAAGCGAAGCACTCCAAGCCTCACATCCGAGCGCATTTCACTCAGCCATAGACCCGCCAAGTCTAGGTCCCTGAAACCAACCTGCCCGGTGCCGGGCACCTGGCTGCACTCCGGCACACAGGCTGCAATGCCGCAGGTGGCGGAGGCCTGCTGGGCCTTAATTTTGGAAGGTTCATCCCCTCATCGCCTCGCCTGCCAGAGACGAAGCCGAATCCCGAAGTCCCTTGGCTCAAGCACGGGACAGCAGGAAAGGACAAGGGAGGCAGTGGCACCGTGTCAAGGCAAAGGTCTGCTGTGAGATGACGCACGGTTTCGACTTCGGTGGATGCCACACGCCGGCAGTTGACCACGCCACACACCACGCCACACACCACGTCACACACCATCACACGACCCACCATCACACGACGCACCACCACACTACGCACGACCACCCTACGCACCACCACACTACGCACCACGACACTACGCGCCACAACAATACGCACCACCACACTACACGCCATGAGCCGCAGCATCACCACCGATCACACAGCGCAAACTACTCCAACCTCGTGAATCATCACTCGAAGCACGCTTCGAACGATTCGCGGCATCATGCGCATGCAGACAACTGGCACCACCAACACCAGCAGCAGCACCACCACCACCATCACCGTCACGACGATCACCATCCAGTTGTCCATCACCGGCACCATCGACATCACAACCTGCCTTGGGACTCACTGGATGCAGCTGCAGGCATGGCATACTTTCCGTTTCCTGTGGCGCCTGCGTCACGTGCACCAGTGCCAAAAGACATGGTGCGACCCAGGCGGCAGGAGGTTGTTGTGGTTGGTGGTGGCCCTTCTCCTGATATGACTGGCGTGACCGTTGGCATTTCGCTGCCAGCAGAAGGCGTTCATGTCTACGACAACGTCGTGTATTTCGAAGTGGTCGTTGTTCCTAGCAGTGGTGCCCCATGGCAAGTGCTGCGCCGCTACAATCACTTCCGGGCATTGACGAAAGATCCCGCCATTTCCGTCACAACTAGAAGCTTCCCACGCAAGATTTGGCACAGTCCCAATGCTCGAGAGATCGAGGAGCGTCGGCATTGCTTGGAGGAGTGGCTGAAAGCAGCTGTAATCCAGGCAGGCATCCATGCACTGCCCCTGGCCCTGCGGAAGTTCTTGCTGCTAGGGCGGACTCCCCAGGTGCCGAAGGCAGCCAGAGCAAGGGGCAAGCTCCAGAACTCCACAATGTCCTTTGCCGCGGAAGCCTTTGACAATGCCTCGGCCTCTGCACCACTTGCAGAAGGCGGCGATGATGGCTTGGAGCTGCTCCACGTTCCGATCCCCACTTCGCTGGGACCGGACGACTTGCTGCAGGTCAAAACACCAGATGAAAAGATCATCGTCATCAGCATCCCATGGGGCCTAGCGCCTGGTGTGCCACTGCAGCTTTGGTGGGATCAGGCAGCTGGCACACTTGGAGTCCACCACCGACAAGACTGGCAAGCACTGCGAGGCCAGAAGTGATCAGAATCGACCTGCAGCCCCGGCTTGCAAGCCCTAAAGGGCTGGTCTGGGGTCCTGCATTCCCTTCCAAGCCATCCTGTACAGTCCTGTACCCAGTGCAGAGGATACGAGCAGACACAGATCTACAGTAAGAGACTGGAGACCATGTCACGGGAGTCGTGGGCGATTCAGCGCCACGCGGCCTTGCGGAGTTGGCGTTTTTTTTTTTTGCAGTGCTCATGACCTAGCTACCATTCAGAATTCTATCGTGTTTTTACCCCAAAACCTGAACACAGAGAAGCCATCCTCTGCTCATCTTGACCGAAGCAGCTGTGGATTGCACGGTGCTTCCAATCTTGGATCTTGCAGTGCCGGCTCAGCGTCAGCGCAGCTCCAGACATCAGTAGCCATTTCTGGACACTTCAGATGTGTTTATTGATGATACTGCTGTTCGGCTACTCGGCTTATGAGAAGCCTGCTTCGTTTGGTAGATGCGCAGTGAAACAGATTTCGCTGGGTCGGTCACTACCTCCGGGTGGGTGTCAATGGTTTTGGAAGGCATGTGCAACAAAATAGTCACATCACCATCACTGTATAGTCTGCTGCAAGCTCGAAGCCGAGTGTTGCCTCCGTGCTATTTACACGCGCCCCACCGCACCTTTCTTCAAACTGGTGTGAATTTGTCACAGGATATGCTGCCTTCGTAGCATAGGTTGATTGCAGCGCCCAGCGCCGATCACCCCGGTCTCCTGCGAGTGCACACGCTCTGCCGTCGAGGGCATGAGAAAATGTGTAGCACCGGCGCAAGCGAGACTGAAAGAAACACGGCTCCTTTCTGTGTGCGCGGAGAGCTGCATGCTTTCGGAGAGGTGCTGCGTGATGATACGAATAGTCAAGATTCATAACAATAATACAATACTATAATAGCCATAGCCATAGTAATAATCATCGTAGAGAGCTAAGCTTTCCATCACCCCCACTCAATTCCAAAAATGAGACTCCTTGTGGCCAGGATGGCCCGGAGTATGACAAGCTCCAGGAAGACATGCGGAACCTGCAGGAGTTACCGGTTCGCTCTGACCATTCCTACGCCACTTCAAGCGCCGTGCGGCTAGTGTATTAACGGTTATGATCTTTTATGCTCGGCCACTGCGACTTCGACGACGACACGACTTAGACTACTACTGTTACCCTTGCTACTGTTACTGCGCGTGTGTGTGTGTGTGTGTTGTTTCGCTTTTACTGCTATTATTTCTATTGTCATGGCTCTATTGCTACGGTATTGGTGTTACTGATGTTGGTATTGATGCATGTTGTTGGTTATAGTTCATAGTGGTTTTCTGAGTTGTTATCATTCTCATTCTGAAGACACTACTGTTGTAAGTACTGTTACCTCTCTTGTACAGTTTCCTTGTGGTGATTGTTATGTTAATGTTATGATTACTGTTATAATTAGTTTGTGTCCTGCTGTCATCATACCATTCTGATTTTGCTTATTACCGGCATTTTCGTCGACATCGTTATCTTCATTTCTGCCACCATCACCACCGACATCACCATCATCCCTGTTCATTGTGTGTAAACCAGAATAATTCATGTTCTTCTTATTATTTTTATTCTTCTCATCGTTGTTGTTGCTAGTATCCTTGTTATTATTGTCGGTAGTAGCAGTGTTATTGTAGCATTGGTGTTATTGGTATTAGTTCTATTGTTACTTGTTGTGGTTGTGGTTGTGGTTGTGGTTGTGGTTGTTGTTGTTGTTGTTGGTAATGTTGTTGTTTGCTGTTGCTGTTGTTATCCTGTTACTCTTCTTCTTCTTCTTCTTACTACGACTATTCCTGTTACCACTTTTCCTCTACTCATGATGTTATTATTCGTTTGTTGATTCCTCTTGTTACTGTTGTCATTCTTGTTGCTGCTAAGTCTGCTTCGTCAAGGAGTGTCGTACTCAGTACGACAGTAATTATTGGGTTCTATGGTAAAGGGTTAGTGTAGCCGCGAGGCGCACGCGATAGGAGACCCACGAAAATCCCTGTATTCTGGTGGTCTCCCGGTCGTGGTGGTCGTTGTTGTCCGGGTCGTCGCAGCCGTCCCGGTCGCAGCGGTCGTCATGGCGCTCCATCGCTGTTGGGGGATCATTTGTCAATCGTTTGTTATCATCATCTTCAGCATCATGAAATCTGATAGCTTTTTTTTTTTACGACAAAACTGTTATTACTACTCTGCCTTAGTGTTGTGACGAACGTTGCTGCTTTCATGCCGGTTTTCCGCCGAACAGTTCGGTACCGCCATCGGCCACCGGGTGCGTAGATTCAGAGTGAAGGGGCTTGCTTACTGGACACGTGCGTTCTTTCCACGCTCCTGCGCTGGCCGTGTGCTCCCGGGACTTCGCCACCAGCTCCAACGCTCATGATAACAAACGCCTCTGAAAGAGGGGTGGGATGGCACGGAGGGGTGGGAGACAGGAAGGCACTGCTTACGCTCAAATGATGCGATTCAATTGTGGCATGGTCTGGTATGGAAGCATGGAGGCCAGATTAAATATAGAGAGAGGCTGGTGATCGGGCGGCGAGAAGCGAAGATGAGAGGCAGATGAGACAGGGAGAAAGATCAGCTGCCTGATGCTGCAGGACGGTATTCGACATCTTTTTACGAACGACGCTTGGGTCTGCACTTCCAGATCTCTTGCAGTCCTGCGAGTGGTGAAAGCATTGGCTTGCCATGTGGTTCATCCATGCTTCCCAGGCCCAAAACCTTGTCCGTCAAGCGTCGCATTGGGTGACACGTGCCTGGTACATTGTAGATCGTAGCTGTAATGTTGACTCAGTGTCGTGTGCAGGCCTTGCCCGGAATTGCCCGAGTGTGAGTTTCAAGAACCCTAAGCCGCCTAAACCCTAAAGTCGGTTCAAAAACCATCTCAGGACTTTAAGGGAGCCGAGAAGATTTTTCGGCAAGGCGCAGAGTGCATCCTGGCTGACACTGCGCAGCCAATGCTGTAGTATGTAGGGGCCTAAATGAATAGCATATCAATAATGCTTTGGGGTTCCTTATTTATAAGTAAGCATAGTAAAATCATCTATTACCCCGAACCATGTTCTAATCATTACGGCCCCTATGTTATCTTGTGGACTTGTGTATGGACTTGGCATGTCCATACCCATTTCGGCGGCTTCAAGCCAGATACAAGGGAGAAGGTAGTCATCGTCGTCGCGAAGCCGCGCTGCCAAGAGAATGACCGGCTACGAGTTTTTCCCAATCCGTGAGCTGTCCACCTATCAGACGAAGTGGACAATCAAAGGCCGTGTGACCAGCAAAGCACCGCTGAGAACGTTCAAGCAGAGAAACGGAAGTGGCCAGGGCAAGGTCTTTCATGTGGAGCTGCTTGATGTTGAGGGCGGAGAGATCCGTGCAAGCTTCTTCAATGATGCGGCGGAGAAGCACTTTGAACTGATGGAGGTTGGCAAGTGCTTCACTCTCAGCAAGGGGCAGGTCAAGCTCGCGAACAGGCAGTTCAATGCCTGCAAGCATCGCTATGAGCTTGTCTTCGACAAAGCATCCCAGGTTGATCAAGTTGCAGATGATGGAAAGATTGACGCCGTCAAGTTCACCGTGGTGGAACTGCGCTCCGTGCAGGGCAAGGCATTGCCATGTAGCGTGGACGTTTGTGGCATCGTCACGGCCTTCGACAAAGCCTTTGCCTTTACCTCCAAGGACGGGAAAGATCTTGTCAAGAGAACTTTGACCCTAGCAGACGACAGCGGCATCAGCATGCAAGTCACAATATGGGGCGATCGCGCCAAAAAGGATGACTCGGAGTTTCAGGGCCATCCAGTGGTCGTCATGAAGGGAGTAACGGTGAAGGAATGGCAAGGAGGCTTGAGCGGGTCCTTGATGGAGAGCGGCTCGCTGGCTTTCAACCCTGAGATGCCCGAAGCGCAGAAGGTAAAAGCCTGGTGGACACAGGGTGGCCATGCGCAGAACCTGACCTTGATCTCGCAGACAACTGGCGGTGCCGGAGCTCGAATCGCTGGCAAGCTCATGGATGTGTTGGAGATGAAGCAGAAGTCCGAGCAGCTTCTAAACGAGCAGGAGATGTACTCTGCCTACTGCCGGCTTGCCTCAGTCCAGCTTCGCAAGAGGGACGACATCCAGCCGCTCTACTACAATGCCTGCTTGGAGCCAAAGGAAGGCAACGGCCTGCCGTGTAATCGGCGTGTCGACGACAGTAGTTTCTGCGCTGTGTGCAACAAGGTGGTCAAGGCTGCACCACGTCTCAATTTGCGCTGCCGATTCGAAGATGCAACTGGCAACTTCTGGGTCACGACTTTCCACCAGGCGGCCGAGAAAGTTCTTGGAATGACGGCGCAGGAGGTTGCTGACATCGAGAACAACCAGGGGCGCGAGGCTGTGGAGGCCAAGATGAAGAGTTGCTACTATGCTCGGATCGTGCAGGTGCAGCTGCGTGCGAAGCCGGACAGCTACAACGGCGAGCAGCGAACAAATGTTTCCTGCACTTCAGCTCAGCCGATCAATCGACGCGAGCATGGACGGTTCATGCTGAAAGAGATTGAGGACATGTTGGCGAAGGCTGTCTGTTGAGACCGTGCAGCTGAGCTTGAAATTTAGCCTGTGATCCAGTCAGAAACAGCACCTAGCCAGGGCCACAGAATGGCATCGCGAAGGACGCCAGCCAAGGCTCCAGAAGTTGAGCCGATGTTCATGGTTGAAACCCACTCTCTTAAACTGCATTACTGGCGTTCTGGGCGGGATGCATTTGTTCTGGCCTGCGTGCCTGTCTTCATTGGGTTGGTCCGGCAAGGGACCCGTTTCACAAGCTCACAGGGTGGACTGCGCAGGCTCCTCCTGTGCAGCACTTTCTAGGGACTCCGCGGCAGTTCTGGCACTTCTTGGCTTACTTTCTGAACTTCTAGACTCCCGTCCGTCTTCCTTCTACAAAGTACATCATCCTGTTTCGACTCTGCCGCGGTATTGTTCTTTCCGGCAAGGTGGGGTCTGCCATGCTCCGGGGCGGGGCACAGGTGCACAAGCTGGGAAAATCAACTGCAGTACGTCTCGTCGGGAAGCAGCTCCTCAAATCTGTCGCAGCTGCACGAGACCAGTCGTTGTGAGTCCTTGCCGTGTGTCCTAAACCCTAACTTCCTAAACCCTAAACCCAAAGCTTATGCCCCGAACCCTTCGCCTCAGATGCCCCGAACCCTTCGCCGAGGCCCGCGGCCCAAAGGTGGTCGCGACACTCGCGGTGCCTTTGCTCTGATCTACACGATGGTCAGCTTTATGCCACTCGGCCCTTTTTTGGGATTCGGGAAATTCCGGGGTTCAGACAAAAGGGGGTGTTCTGGAAGCCTAAGCTGAGTCCGTCCTGGGGGACCCACCTAGTTAGCCTTCTTCTTTTTGGGTTTACGACATCTTTGGGCGATTTTGGGTCAGTAAGGCTCGTGCCAGGCACTCCAAGCCCCTAGCTCCCGCAAACCTGAGGGTTCAGTGGTTTGGGGATCAGCTTCTGCACGTGTGTGCTTTCGTGTGCTCTCTTTGTCGTGAAGAACCAGCGGCTTGTAGTTCCATGAAGGTAAGCCTTGCAAGGGCATTTGATTCCGGATTGATCTGCCAAGACCTTGCGCTAGAGAAGGCCTCGGTGATGCATAGCCCCAGTGGAAGCGGCTTTGCAGGTTCGGCCTACTTTCCTTTGCCAATGACCAACTGGACGAATGCTTAGCACGCGTCTGGACAGCCGAGAGCTTGCTTTTGGAGGACTCTCTCGACAGATCGGTATCGAATCCGCATCTTTCCGGTTCACATTTGCGCAAATGCGAACATGTGCAGATGCATGCCTTCTGGTCATTTTCAGTGATGAAAACACAAACAGCGACCTGAGCTCGAAAGCAAGATTTCCGCTTTCCACCTGCAGGACTCGCCGTGGGTCGGCCAGAAGATGCTTTTGGGTATGGTCTACCTGATCGCAGGACAGAAGAGGGCAGGTGTCTCGTTGTCTCCGGTCAGAAAAGGATCTGTGTGAGCTGGGCCAGTGCCCCTTTGATGCATACAAGCCTATAGTAGTACTGTAGCATAAAACCGCTCATTATCAGTTGTTACGATCAGTGTAATTGTTACATGAGAAATATTATAATATGTTTTAATACACTAGTAATATACTATACAGTGCGCCTGCTAAGTTCTCCAGGAGTGGTGCAAGCTGCAAAGAACGCATGGCTCAAGTCCGGCGTGAACTTGGTGCGATCACTGCGGTATATCCGGGACTTCGAGGAAGGCTCTGTGCTCTCCATGCTGCTCCAACTTTCTGACATGCCATTGGTGGCATATATGTGTATTTGCGAATGTAAGGTGATTCTGCATGTAGATGAATACCAAAAAAAGTACACACAGGGGTGTGTGTGTATATATATACACGCAGATATATATATATATATACACATATAGATATAGA